GAAAGTAGTAGAGAAAGAACATCTTATCTCGTCTTCTGTTTTTTTTTTTTAGAGACACTTTATTTTTGGGATATTATCTACTATTAAAACTACATGGTAACTAATCGCGCTTTGATTAAAAACGCCTAATTAGATAATGCAACAGTATTTTTTAAGGGGGGGGGGGATTAATTTCAACTCAGAATGAAATACCAAGACCCATATAGCAAAACAACCAAATCTTGTTGCATTCTCAGGTCACATTTTGCCTTTATGGCCATACCAAGGTTACAATTTTTTGCCTGAGTGTTTTAAAAATAAGTATAGAAAAAGGAGTCAAAATCCATATCGGAGCGAAATATTTAGTTTGGGTTTATGTAGTAAAACTTCACTAGGAATAATTTTGTAGAACCTTTTAACCAATTAGCTCTCTCACAAGTGTAGTTTTGACCCCATTTTTGTAAATTCTGAATAAAATGTCATTTGAGAGGTCGCTAGAGGGTTAAAATGTCGTAGAAAATTATTAACCGGAAAGTTTCACCAGAGTCCGCAGAAAATAAAAAACAAATGTGTCCCCTTCAAATATGCAAAAACTTTTTTAAGCAACTGAATATATGTAAGCCCACGATACGTAAATGTGGTTCATCTGCGAAGGTGGTGATTGTCTCTCGATGAATATCGTTGCGACATACATATGTAGGTCTGGACTTCGTCCATAATTTCACAAGGGTGGCTCTGCTTCCAGTAAGTGCCTGTTCGCATGCTGCCTGCGCTATCAGCCGAGCATTTGTTGCTTGCTGAGCATGAAATTGTGCTCCTTTACCGTCCGGGGTGCGGTGTTTTGACAAGTCTGTAGTTTCGTCCACTGCGTAATACAGCTCCTCAGTGACCAAGCAAAAGCCGCATAGTTTAGAATCCGTTGGTCACCTTGGCCTTGGACTTATTTTGCCAACAACGTTTGTTTGTCTTCGCCTCAAGTCCTACCGTTGACCGATTTGAGAACCTTGTTGGGGCTCTGTGCTTTACTGAAAAATTGCAGTTTTTGTGTGCAGAGAAAGAGAACAAGATGTCAATGGTAACAGTTAAGATTTTCGGATTATTAACCGTAGGTCAAAGAACCTCTTATCTGTGACTGTGGAAGATTCGACATGTAGACGTTAAACATGTGCGATACCTTATTTAGATCTTCTAGACATCCGAGGTTTCGTGGTCCCGAAAAAGTGCTTATGACTATTTTTGTCCCTTGATGAGAGATGATGCCTCAATGTCTTTTAGTAGAATTGAAAAGCAAACGGTATTTCAAAGGGCTTCAACAAGTCCAATAGGATCGGTTACGACTGTTTAGACAGTTAAGAATGTAAAGATTAGTTAAGCTAGTTAACCTGATTGTTATCATAATTAGCGTTTTGCATATTCTCAACATTTCCGCTCAACTTAACGCGCGTTACAGTGTTAATGCCAACAAAAATGTTTTCCCATACATACATACATGCATGCATAATCAACGAGTACCTACCTCATCCGCGATAACCGGCAAATAGTGTCGTTCGCATATAGCTAGCATATCCTCCAGATGCTTCTGACTAAACACGCTGCCACAAGGATTACTCGGATTAGTTATTAGCAATGCGGCTGTCTTATCATCAATTAAGCTCTCCAGCTGACGTAAATCGGCCTCCCACCGACGTTCTGGCAACAAATCATAGTATCGTATCTCTATGTCCAAACCATCGGATAGCGTTTTGTACAGGCAAAAGCCAGGACGTGGTACGAGTAGATTTTGTCCTCTATCGCATAGCGCCAGAATACAATACTCCAGCGCCGATGAGCAGCCGCTGCATATTAAAACATTCTCGTAATTTATTTCTTCGATGCTTTGGTGAGCGCTGTATTTTGCGATGGCACGACGCGCTTTTTCGTGGCCCAGTGAGTGTGCGTAGCCGTTGTAATCACCGCTTTCAAGCGACCGCTGTACGGCCTTGATAGTTGCTTCTGAAGCTCGTAGGTTACCGAATGTCGTCGGATCGCCTGTTAGAGATAAGTAAACAATTACAAACATGCTTAGGTAATTAATAAACAGTTTAATTAATTTTTACATTTATAAGAAAATTGTAAATCGATATACATTTATACTAGGGCTGATTATACCCGGGTACCCGGTTACCCGGGTATTACCCGGGTGCCCGGGTAA